ATAGTTAAAAGGGACATACAACATGACACAAAACACTGAAAACTGACTAAAAAAAATTAACAACAGGAATCCAACCAAAAATCGAGAGTGAACTCGGAATAAATTCGGTACAATATTTTATTCATATGTGAAAGCACTAGCATCATAAACTTTGTATAAAATGACATTATATATATATCATCTTCCACATAATTTCGCAATCATTTGGTCATTTTTCTACCAGACGATTCTGTTTAGGATGCAATAATTTGTCCTCAATGTTAATGTACTGACTCAGACCAAACCAGATTTTATAATATAACCATGAAGAGACCTTGTATCTAATTTCCACTACAAATAATGCCACTTATTCTCTGCCAATTATTTGATAACGGGAATCATCGTTCACGATCTAAATCACGTGGACTCTGTTATCGGTCCGTAGATCAGATTGTTAAGGTAACAAGTGCAATAGACGAGTCTCCTGCGGATTATCCACGTACTATTTCCGTACTTTGTTAAATTGGAACCAGAAGGAAATTTATTCCTCTAGCTGTCAATTGATCCCCTTTTCACACATATCTTGACGCTTCATCACTTTCCGTGTTGACGATAATTCCACTTGTCTTCTGCTAGATCAAACGATAGTCGTTTAATGTTAAACATATCGATCCGCCAATATATAGAAATAGTTTGGGATACTACTTGTTTGCAACGTTCATCAATTTTACCATAAAAGTAAATATAACGACTTTCCTTTTATCTTTTTGAGAACTTTCATGAATGATTGATTGCTATTTTATGTTTGAAAAAAAGAAAATTTGCAAGTTTATAACATACTGGTAAACAACAAACTGAGATTTTATTGAACACAGTTTTGTAAAGAAACAGTTTTGATAATGATAAAAAAATATTCCTTTAAAAAATGTCTGATGATTTGTCTTTCAATTCGCAATAATTCCAACACCTGTTTTCTTCTTTTTGTTTTATAAAGAATTGCTCTCTCTTATGATATTACAGTATGCTGTGAAATGGCAGGTGTCGAGCGCCCTAGAAACGTACTTTTAAATTACTATCAGTGGGCCCTATGCCTCTGCTGGTTACACCCATCTAGGAGTCACTTCATCGTCAAAAATGGTACGTGTTAAATTCTATTTGGTGAATCAGTACATAATTGTGTTAAAATCAAGGTCGTTACTCTCCCAAACAAAGACGACCTTTGGCGTTTTTATCTGTTCTGTGTCTGCCCATCTAAAGGTCTTTTAGTTTTGATGCCATCAAATGTTTTATTTATTTTTGGTCTTTAAACTTCCAGTGTCATGACAACTGAAAACAATATCAAACATTTACATCGGATCAATCTTTCATTTTCAAATTTGTCTTTTTAAAATTGGATGGAACACGTCTTTCTCTCTTACTCTTATTTCGGTCCCACAAGAGTGTGTGGTTATCCCTGTAAACGTAAATGATGTGAGTATTGGTTAGGTCGTCAATGCTACAAACATTTTCAGGTACAATATTAAAGCCCGTGTATAATGGAAACTCATCAAAGGTTTTGTAAGGACATCCCATAAAGGGCGAATAAAATAAAAAGGGATTTTCATAAACGTTTTGTAGAATTGTCTCTTTTGGGCTTTCATATACATGTCATGAAAAGATACAAGTAGTTGACAATATACTTCATATAATTATGAACAGCTCCCGCAAGTCAACAACAATAGTAATATAAAATATGGATATGTGAACCAACTATCCCCCAGATTCCAAATGACGTGAATGTAGGCAACTATAGTCACCGTACGGCCAACAACAATGAGCAAACCCCACATCGTATGTAGTTCACTGCAAAATGTCCCGACTTTAAAAAATGTAAAACAATGCAAACGAGAAAACCAATGTACAAAACAATAAACGATAAATAAATATAATAGACAGCAACAAACGACAACCACTGAATTATAGGCTGTTCACTTGGGACAGGCACTTATAGAAGACGACAGAGTTAAACATCTTTATGAACGCTCAATCCTCGCCCTATCCTTGGTCAGTGGTGTAATATCACAACAAAAGTCAACCAAACAAGTAACCATACTACTTCCAAGCAACTACGAAAACTTGCCTCATTGCTATAATTTTATATTCTGAGTCTTGAATTCCAAGTCTGTTTTATAAAGGGTCGTAGTACCCTCAATAATCATTCATTGATTCACGTCTACGTGTTTCCATCTCACTTCAGCGACTCTTTTCACAAAAAATCTTACGATTAAAATTGATCGTAAGTTATACTGAAATGTGTATGACTTACGAGTATTTTTACTCTTAAGATTTTTTGTGAAAAGAGCCGCAGATTCGTTGATATTAAGTATTCGGTCTAAGCAAAAATACCTTCTTCATCGGTTAACCGAATTAAAGCTTTTTATGGTGTGCCGAAAAACAACTTAATGTGTGGCTTGTTGTAAATATTTGTACGGAACACTTAATCTGCCATTACATATCCGTTTTATAATTTTGACACTTCATGAAGCAACACGTATAGCTCAGACATGGTGTAACAGAACAAGATGGCGTTAAAAAGCAAACGAATGGCAAGTGTCATCTTCGAATAAATACAATGTTATTTGTATTCATCGTTCTGGTTTTCTCTACCTGGTGGTCTGTAGCTGCAGGTGTTAGTCTGCAAAATTCACAGGAATTAAAGTAAACTGGCATCTAATTGCTCATTATCCACAAAAGTATGTATTAATGCAGTGCTCCGGAACTACACCAGAAAAAAATGCACAAGGGGAGGCATGCCACTATTATCACCTGTAATGCGTGGTACTTTCTTTAAAAACCTCGAAGTATGATAAAATTAGATTACAACCGTTTTTATCGAGAGGTGTTTCTTACGGTGTGCCAAATGAAAAATTTGGCAGGGTTAAGGATCGTTCTACTTCGCTAATTAGATAAAAAGATTAATTAGCAAACGATAATATTGTCAGATTAAACTAATTTGTTTTTAGAAATTAGAAATCTTTTTTAATGAAAACCGGTGCAAATCCTTCACTCTTAATTTGTAGACATTATCTATAACATAGTTGTACATGTATACCTCGTGCTATAATCTAGTTCTAGATATAGACTTAGCAATTTGCGATACAAGTTAAGCATTCTACCATCAATCAATGTTATAAAATCATTAACTTATCCCAAAGTTTCAATAACCCGTTTTAAAACAAAATGCTTTTTTGATTTGCGTACTTAACAATCCATGTTTCGCTTGTGTAATTAGTTTCGTATCTTTCCCCTTTTCTACTTCACAGAAATTGTCATTTAAACTAGCTGACAAATGTGAAATTGCTTTACTCTTCCTTCTACTGAATATTCTGTTAACATTCTGTTAATTTATGTTCTGACTACTCCTTTATACCGTACTAAAGCTATTTCAAATTAAGTACTTTGTTAAGCAGAAAATTGAAGTTTCAATAATTCATTTAGTTTTCAGTTTTGCAGGTGGAAAAATATTGATGAAAATTTTCATCTCACCTACCAGTTCGATACCGAAATTCACTGGTTGCTTCAACTGTGAACTAGAACGTTCGAATATGATTTAAAAATATTCTCAGCTATTATTTCAAAATATAAATAAACAAAGATTTCGATTCACTCAATCAAAGATACTCAGTTTTATGTGTTTTGGTTAGCCCTGTTTTATTTTCCATGTGTATTTGGGTTTGCAATCTTTTGAAATGAAGACCTAGAGACATTTCTGAATTCCCAAATCCGGTCAAGCACACAAAAAGTTGTTTCACATTTTGTAAGTTTTAAATCGAAGTTTTCGTCAAACCTATAAAATAATATACAAAGAACAGTACAGTACTATAATACTGAAGGAAAAAAGACGGGAGATCTACACCAATGACACAGTAAGTTAGTAACCCAATAACATAAAAAAAAACACCCTCAAAGGCACGTCTCTATAGGTTAAAACCTGAATACTAGTATATGTTTCTCTTTATAAACTTAATTTGACTGACACGGATGCTGATTTTGAATATTTAGTTTCCTGATCATGTGTTAGGTAGATGTATTACTACAGTTATTTAGCTTATTAAGTTGAAACTCGTAAACACAAAACCTCAGTGTGCGATGTTGGGTTGTATCTTCTGGTAATAAAACAGTTTCCTTTGCAATATAAAAAAAAAGATTTGGGTCGATGAGACAACTCTTCACCAGAGACCACCAAATGACGTAGAAGGCAAGCAACTATAGGTCACCGTACAGCCTTGAACAATGAGTAAAATCTATACCGCATATCAAGCTGTAAAAGGCCCCAAAATGACAAATGTAAAACAAATATAGCAACAAACGCAACCACTGAGTTAAGGGCTCCTACTTTGGACAAGCACATACTGAATGTGGTTAAAAATGTTCGAGGGCACGACAACCCTCCCCTAACCTAGAACAGTGATGTAACAGCATAACATAAGAACAAACTATAAAGGTCAGTTGAAAAGGGCTCAACTCATCAGCTCGATGAATTAATTATTCAATACTTTGCAATGTAGCGACACTAAATATCTATTTGATACATTAGCACAGAATACTGACTGCTAAGTGATGCGTGTATTGCATGCAGTTTGACGTGTTTTTATGTTTATAGTATTTAGTTCTTCTTATCAACAAATCTCTCTATATGAACAAAATACTCCCCCCCCCCTAAAAAAGTGTTTCTCGGTCGCTCTCATCTCAGCAAAACAAGGTTTTCATTGTAGTTGACTATAAAATTTAACATATTCAGTATTGAGCAGTATAACAACACTTTGCTGTATTACATTTGATGTTGACTGGTGTGAAGGCAATGTGAACGATTTTACTCTAATCTGCCAGGCTATTTGTATGGGCGTCAAATTAGTATACAACAAAACTATATGTAATCCTGTTTCTTATGGATTAATAAAGACTAGCGCTTTATAAACTGCAACGGAATTTCAGCAGAAGAGATGTAATGGCAAAGAAGAAATATCGCAAAAAAACAGGTATAATTTCTTATAATATATCGACTTTTAATCAAAAGGAATTTATTTTTATTGTTATATAAAGGTTTTCATCTAATTATCGTCGTCTCTTATCACATTTTCTCTGTTTAGCTCATTTACTCCTGAACACCAAGACGTGATGGCATGGTAAAATTGACCAACCAGGTGTCATATTATCATTCAAATTATTCTAGCCTCCAACCTGTGAACTTCTGCCCACAAAACAATGTTAACAACTTATCTACACATGGCCGAAATCAAAGATAGAAAAAATGTAATCTTGAATCATAGCTTTGGAAAAACATCATAATTTTCTTCGTCTACTTTTAACGATGGGAACTGTCGAGGCATCATTCGTTCCGGTTCATGTTCGGGGTCACATCTGTATTTTGAAAAGTCGGTAACACCAGTAGAACGTAACAGATCTTCATCAATCAGTGCTTGTCCATTATATCTGCAACATAAGATACACTCGGATTGAACATTTTAGTTTATAAATTAATGTATGTTTGATAAGAAAAAGAAATAACAAATGCAAGTACTTGTCTCACCGGAAGTGTAAAACTTCAATCACAACCAAGACAAGCAAACACTTGGAATCATTGGAATGACTTATTCCTAATATATAATTTGGTACAAGTACTCTCAAGAGGAAGGAGGTATCATAGCAGGAGGTTATCTTTCCAGAGACACACAATAGTCATATTATCTATTGAAATATCATACTTCTCTCTCATTATATTCAAACTACCTATTTGTGTATATACTGACATATTCCTTGTGTTTTGACCTTTCTCTCATTTTTAGAACTATTCCAAATAAGTATTAAAAGGTTTGAAAAACGTAACTCTTAAGACAAAGATATTATGAAGAATGAAAGCCTACAATTAACATCATAATATTGAAATACAACGAATTTACAGAAAGTGCAGTCATGTTGTGGATTGTTGATACTTTCATTTTGAGTCTGGTAGTACAAAATATATACTGCAATTAAACATGTGAATGATTTCTTGTTAGAGTATTGCAGGTGTCATAAGAATATTGTTTTAGGATTTTTGAGAAAATAATATTTTGCTTTTCGTACTTTCACATTTTCATGAAATCTCGTTGGTCGTGTGATATCGTCTATTTGCCATTCTCTGGTATTGTTGATACTTTTGTGTCGGATAGTACTATTTATGATAAAATAAAAAGTGAACATGTAAATGATTTCCATAAGCTTGTTAGAGTAGAAATTGTAGACATGATTTAAATATTATTTACGATTTGGAGAAATGAGATTTTGCTTTTCGTACTTTATAACATTTGCAATGAAATCTCGAAAATGGTGAGATTTCACAAGATTTTGCCTATTTGCCAATCTGTGGTTTTGTATGCTTCTCTCTGTTTGTTCCCATAAATTTCTCATTTATTGCTCTATTTGCCTCATTCGTGTTGTTAAAGAGTTAAACTTTGTCCTTAATTCACCATGGACATTTGAGAAAGGGAACCCAACACCGAAGTCCAGAGGAAAAAAAATAAAACCGAATTTCAATTGAAGAGATGTTCTGACAAAGAAGAAATATTTTCATACAAAATATACAAAAAATAAAATGTGGCATGGATGCCAATGAGGCAAGTACTTACCATAGACAAATTGTACATTTTTATTTCATAATTTATCATTTTAGTTACTAGGAATTTATTTTTTATGGTTATACTGTAACAAAAAATTTGTTCCGGCGTGACATTTGTTCCGTCGGAACAAATTTCATAGGAAATATGTTCCACCGGACTTTATATCACAGAAAATATGTTCCAGCACTGTAAAATTTGTTCCGGAACTAATTTTATGTCCAAATGTGAAATAAGTTCCGGAACAAAAATCATAGCTCCATGAATTTTGTTCCAATTAATATTAAGAGTTTTAAAAAGTTAAATAAGTTCCTGAGTGTGATATTTGTTTTAAAAGAACGTGTACATATTTCATAGAAATCAATGAATAAGTTCCGCTCAAACCTATTTTCACAGAAAATAAGTACCTTTGCAACAAATTGCAAGCGAAAACACATAAGATGCCACACTTATTCTACTCTTTTCTGGCTGAAAAGTGTCATTTTGATATTTTTATAATGCACTTCAATGATAACTTTAAACTCACTGATGACAAATGATCAGTATATAAGATAACTTGTTTAACCAGTGGAACATATTTCACAGACAAGGAACTTATTTCACCAGGTGAGGAACAAATCTCACAAACCCAGAACTTATTTTACCAGATAAGGAACAAATCTCATAAACCCGGAACTTATTTCACCAGGTAAGGAACAAATTTCACCAACCCGGTACTTATTTCACGAGGTAAAGTGTGGAACTTATTTTATAGAGATGGAACAAATTGTATAGAAATCATCTGTGAAAAAAGTTCTCCCAGAACATATTTCCTGTGATATTAGTTCCACTGGAACTTTTTTCACAGGAACAAATTTTGGCTCACAATACTTCGGTAGTTTTTGTCCGATGACCCCTCTACCTCGTATGAGTATGCATATTAGGTAAGACGAAAGAGTATAAAGCATTGTTTATCCACTGCATGGTAATGTGACTACTATACATAAATATTGGACTAAAGCCCACTAAAAGTAGTATTTGTCGTATGTCAGATTAAACTGCTGAAAATTTAAAGCCCGTATGAATAAGTTTGAATCCTTTGGTCATTTAAAACATTTTATTAACAAAAGAGGAATAACTCGAAGTATTATTTCACCCAAATAAACATGTCACGGATCCATAGAAGCTTTTCCTCATCAGTCATATAATGTACTATATGGTCAAACATAACATGCGAGTATTGTGACCTCCATGTTTGCCTAGAAAATGACTAACGTTGACAGCCGTGAAATATTCATTAGAAAAAGAACATGAATGGATGATGCTAAATCTGATGTTTCTGAGGTGTTTCTGATAGATTTTCTACATTACATACTTATAGAAAAAAACACATACTTGTCTGTTTTTTCATTAGCTATTGTCATCATTGCATCAGCAAATATCTCTGGTGACCTCATTAACTTATCGGGTAGGTTCATTTTCTCTGTGACAAAACTTTTAATTCCTGTTGCCGGCCACAGAGTAGAAATCGAGACTCCTGTTTACGTATAGTATGATACATTATTATAAAAGGGGTTGTTATATATTTCCTTAAAATCAATATAATCTGAAATTTCAAACGAATTAATTCGAAAAAGGTTATATAGACATTTTTTTATGTGTGGATACAAAGCCAGGTTCATATTCATCTGCGGCAATAACGTGTTCTCTACATGCATATTCAGGATGAGAATGTGTTAATGCGATATGATTATGAACCCTGCTTTGTACAAGACCGACACGACGAGGCGGATTTTTAATATGCTAGTTCAAAGCAAGGTATATGTGACAGGAGGACATGTTGCCATTTATTTCAAGAATTTATTAAGTTAGTGCCTTTTCAAAACTTTTTGTCTCAAGGATACCTGATGAAATGCATTTCTAGAAAACCATGTCAAATACTTTAGCGGTTTGAATTAGGAACTTTCTGTTTTGTTTTGTGTTTTTAAAAACACAACGTTTCAATGAGTAAGTCCAGTGGTTTCAGATAATATTTCATTGTTTTACTCACGAATTCGGATGAAACAAAACAAAAACGGTGGCCTAACTAATAAGAAAAGGTAAGTAAAATGTCCTTACGGACATGGATAGCTGAAAATTGTACGACTTTAATTACTGCAATTATAATTTCCACATTTTCCAGATTTGCAAAATTGAGATGTTGTACATAACACACTGAATCCATTCATCATAGCTACAAAAGGAAGAACAAAAATCTTCTGACTACGACAAGCTATTGTAATTAACACATACATACCTGTATCCTTCAGCTCGTTAGCCAATCCATGTACAAGAACTGTCATTCCTACTTTAGTTATAGCATAAGGGGTCTTCCCTTTAAAAAATCTAAAAAAATACTACTTCATTTAAATATGACTGTCTTTTCACGAAATATATGTATCGTATACTATTTCTAATTTTGCTGTACTAGATGTTCCTTCGTAAAGTCAGAAATCGTGTAATAAGGAGTATTATATGGTCCTTTTGATATTTTATTTTCATATAGTGGTTGAAAGAGACATTTTACTTTTGTGTTAAATTTGTAAGTTCCCTGAACGTCAGAAAATCCTCAATTTCTTTTAACACTTTAGGCAAAATAGCATAAAAATGTTGCCTGAAGCTATTCTTATGAAAACTACATAAAACGGAGACAACTCATAAAATTTTAAAAAAGCACATAAATCAGACTCAAAGCCTAACAGTCGTTGCAGTCATAAAATAATCAAGAGACGCCACAAATAACCCAGTGTATTACGGCTTGTGATTGGACTTACGATAAAAAGTAAAATATCAAAAATACCGAACTCCAAAGAAAATTCAAAACGGCAAGTCCCTTATCAAATGGAAAAATCAAAAGCTCATACACATCAAACGAATGGTACGATCCCACACTCGACCACCGGAGAAAACACGCTAACACGAGACCATAATGCGCGAGACACGTTCTTCTAAATGGTTACCCATACGATGTGAAAGTTCGTAACAGCACCACGTAGCAAATATTTTGGTCAAGATTTAGTGTTTTTTTTTTGGTTTGTACTTTTTTAGAGGAGGGAGGGGATTCAATACAGATAGTATGAAATGAAAACATGTAAATGAATATAAGACATCCACGTCCTTAAATTGATATAAAACACGAGAGCATGGATCACATCATTCGGTATCTGGGGATACCTGTCTCACAATCATTCCAAATGCATATCTTTATTTTTATAAATATGTATATTATTAATGAAATAGATTTTACTGTCCATGCTAGTTGCCTGTATTATGTACATTAAATATAAACTGTACCTATTATATATGGGGGGTGAGACCAGAATAATTTTTCCTTTCTTTCTCTCAAGAAATCGTGGAAGAATTTCTTGCACCATGCAATAAGCTCCACGGACATTAACACTTTGCATCAAATCATAACGTTTGAGAGGTGTATCCTTTACTGTGTCCCATGTTATGGCACCAGCATTGTATATAGCTACATCTAAATCACCAAACCTGGAAAAAAAACAAAAAGGAATCTTCGGTTATTCAATGGTTAAACACTAATTTTACATTTTTCCTTCTTTAATTGAGATCAGTTTAATCGACGTAAGAGGACCGAAAGAGAGGCGAAAGATACCAAAGGGACATTCAAACTCATAAGTCGAAAATAAACTGACAACGCCATGGCTAAAAAAGAAAAAAGACCAACAGACTAACAACAGTACACAAAACACAACATAGAAAACTAAAGACTGAGTACACGAACCCCACCAAAAACTGGGGTTGATCTAAGTTAGAGGCTGGTGTAATTCACTGATCTGAATTTGTTTAAATTGTTTGAGTTAACGGAAGTTTATGAATTTTCAAAGAGGTTTATTGGGTGAAACACTATTCCTGTTTTGGAGATCCGATCGTATTGGTTGGGTGAAACAAGATTCCTGTTCTGGTTATCTTTGAGAAAAAATGTAATCAACCAATCGTATACGATTACATAATATTAGCACAGGGCAAATATGCGACAACCCATGTTATCTCCTGTTATTATTACTGTCTAGTATATTAGTAATAATCTCTGCATATTACCTCTTATTCAGTGACAATCTTTTAAAATCAGCATTCAGTCTGGTGATCTTCAATTAAAAAATGAGCGTCGAAACATTGAAATCGGTGTCTTTTTTGCTCTGATTTGAAATTTTTCAACTGGACATGACCTCTCTCTACCTGTGAACCTTTCCTGTAACAGTCTATCACCGACAAGTTTAGATACAGAAAATTAACCGAAGAGTAGGGAGTTTCTGCATCTGCATCTATACAAACACTTTTCACATTATATAGTTGACAATTGCATTTGAATAATGTTGTTGGAAAGATACTGTAATTTCATATTACATTCACATACTTTTTATAATCATTTTTATTATGCCCATTTAATTACCTTTCTATACAAGTTTCTATTGCAGATTTAATTTCCTTTTCACTTCTTACGTCACACTTTACTGGTACCGCAGTTCCACCGGATGACTTGATTTCTTGTACAACTGTATGAATAGACCCTGGTAATTTGTCCGTACTTTCTGTTGTTTTTGCAGCAACGCCTACTTTATATCCACTAGCTGAAAATGATAAGGCTATCTGCCGCCCAATACCCCGTGATGCTCCAATAACTAAACATGACTTCATCTACAGTATACAGAAATATAATATCGTCATAATTTCTGCAATGTTGTAAATGTTTGGCTTTCATAAGACAATCTGACAACTATCTAAACATCCCGGCTATAGGCTTGTACGTTTTAAATTTTCAACAATAGTGTACGACATTTCAGCTGTACAGTTGCACTTTCACATGAAACTTTTTTTCTAGAAATTAAGAAACAATCAAAAAACAAAAAAAATTGAAACACTGCATGTTACTGAGAAAAAAACCTGGAACAAGAGTCATCCTTTGTTGTGTACCAAGCTCACTGCATGTTACTGAGAAAAAAAACCTGGAACAAGAGTCATCCTTTGTTGTGTACCAAGCTCACTGCATGTTACTGAGAAAAAAAACAGGAACAAGAGTCATCCTTTGTTGTGTACCAAGCTCACTGCATGTTACTGAGAAAAAAAACCTGGAACAAGAGTCATCCTTTGTTGTGTACCAAGCTCACTGCATGTTACTGAGAAAAAAACCTGGAACAAGAGTCATCCTTTGTTGTGTACCAAGCTCACTGCATGTTACTGAGAAAAAAAACAGGAACAAGAGTCATCCTTTGTTGTGTACCAAGCTCACTGCATGTTACTGAGAAAAAAAACAGGAACAAGAGTCATCCTTTGTTGTGTACCAAGCTCACTGCATGTTACTGAGAAAAAAAACCTGGAACAAGAGTCATCCTTTGTTGTGTACCAAGCTCACTGCATGTTACTGAGAAAAAAAACAGGAACAAGAGTCATCCTTTGTTGTGCACCAATCTCACTGCATGTTACTGAGAAAAAAACCTGGAACAAGAGTGTCCGTAGATGGATGGTTGCCAGGCAAAATGTTTTTCCTATATTCATCCTGTCAACTGCAGATCTCTGCAGTCCAAACATTTCGGTCGATCCAATAACTTGCAAAGCCTACCTTTTTGTATTAATTTTTAATTGATTATTCTCGTCTTGCATGAAATAATTTCCACTGCCATGGGAGTTCAGCATGCAACAAGCAATCATTTATGTGTATCTGTATTTAATATTACATTGCATGATTGATTATTGTTGGCTTCGAGTCTAGTCCAAATAATTATGACGTCTTGAAAGGCTATTTCAATTTTTTTTTCTGGGAGGAAGGCGTCCCAGAAAAAAATTAAAATAGCCTTTCAAGACGTCATAATTATTTGGACTAGCTTCGAGTCCAGAGGTTATAAATATTACATTGTCATATGTTTCAATTACTGTTTTATGAGCCAAATTGGGAAAAAGTTAATTCACTATGGTTTGTCTTGGCAACGACTGTTGGTGTGTAGTCATATTGACGTGTTAAATGTAATAACAATTGTTACTTTGAGCAAAATATTGGGATGATATGGATATGGTTCGACTACGAATGTCCTATTTAATGACCTATGGAGAGTCAGTACGATGATCTACGATGCATAACTCATATTACGACTTCATGATCTATATCATTGTAAACACTATTGCTTACCTGTAACATATGAACAAGTACCTTGGCAATGTAATATAATCAACTGAAAACTAAAACTGTACGTTCAAACTTCCCTTTATTGAGGACCATGTCACTGTAGGTACACATGTCCTGTGACAATGAGAATAATTCCGGATATATCTGCTTTTATAGAATAGAATAGAATATAATAGAATTTTTTTTTTCAACCGGGTTTACGTGAAGTGAAGTTCGGTATTGCTATGGCTTCCCATAACCTACATTTTACCGTTAGTTGAATTTCTGTAAAGTTTAGAAGTTGCATATTAACTCGATTGTTCAGGAAACCCAGTGTTGATATTTCACGCTCATTAAAACCGTAACTTGGCCTCAGTTAAATGATATTTATTCATTCATGTAAATATCAAGACACAAATATTTTAAGTACATGACAGATAGTATGTTTTGATGTTGTTCGTTTCTGGTTTGGTTTAGAGAAACACGTTTTTCATATGGGCACATTAATCAAGTTTTTTACTGATTTTAAGGCTATATGAGGGTGGTAAAGGGTTATTTTCGTGCAACGTGATCGCCGTTTTTTATTTCACGTTCAACGTGTTTTTACTTTTTTATTTGACGTTCAGTCGTGCAAGACAGGTGCCTCGTTCAACGTGTTCTGCTTATTTAATTTTACGTGCATCGTGATTTTCAAATGCTTATTTTGCGTGCTCGGTATTTTTCAAATAAAATTCAAATACTTGGCAGGGATCGTCAAGAAATACTTTTTTAAAAGCCGTAAACCAGTTATACATCATAAATGTGTATACTTAATCGGGAATAACAAGTAAAACAGAGAGTTTATATATACAAGAAGACAGTGACTCAGTCACAAAAGGTTCACAACAGTCCTTATTTTTCGTGCAACGTTCATGACAGAGGTTATTTCACGTTCAACGTGAAATTATGTCTTATTTCACGTTTTTTCCGTGCAAGCACCCCCCCTTTACCACCCTCCTATATTATATGTCCTTTCGTCTGTATACGTTGCGATGCCTATGCGGTAAAAATAGCTTAAATATTAGTCAAAATATTAATCAATCCCATTTTTCCACTTTGCATTTATAAGTCTAGGACTAAGACACATATTGTTGATAAAAAGTAAAATATAACAAAAATACCGAAATCCAAGAAAAATTCAAAACGGAAAGTCCCTTATCAAATGGCAAAATCAAAAGCTCAAACACATCAAACGAATGAAAAACAACTGTCATATTCCTGACTTGGTACAGGCATTTCCTTATGTAGAAAATGGTGGTTTAAACCTAGTTTTATAGCTAGCTAAACCTCTCGCTTGTATGACAGTCGTATAAAAAATGGTGAAACTATTAAAATGTATCTTACAAAGTGTCATAACTGTTTTTCGTCTGACATAGAAACGTTTAATCTGTGTTTATGTATATATACATCTAGGCACTTTGTATATAATATATATACATATATTATTATATATACAAAGTGCCTAGAAAATCAACCTAACAATGTTAGAGTAGATCTGATTCTTTTCTTTCTCCCCGAACGGGGCTGGAACCTGTACGTTTCACTTCTCGCTTCTACGACAACACCGCCTAGCATTGCGCAGACGCCTTTTCCCTTCCTCTAACTATAGCTGATACAAATCAGTTTTCGTTTCGGGAGGTGTTAAATTCTCGTAGGTATTAAACAAGGACGTATTTATAAAGTGTCTAGAAAATCAACCTACCAATGTTAGGGAAGATCTATAAATTCATAGTGATTGTATGTAAGCTTCTAAAAATAGAATAGCATCCTGTAATTATTATATCATGTTTTTCACGATTTATATGATTTTTCAGCATAAAATCGACCCAATCTTTTTAATCCGGTATATAATCCGTTTTATGGAATTACGCTTTCAAAATCCTGGATCCGCCCTCTGAAATTCCATGTGTACATTTTTGAAAGTATGAACAATAAAACTGTGAGGATATCAAGGGCGGATTCAGAAGTACGTCCTCGACCCCTCTTTTATCGAAAAAAAAACATCTTTTTTTGCCGCATAAATTTTTTTTTCTCCTCGGCATTTAACATGGTCTTAGTTTTATGGAATTACGCCCCTTTCAATATTCCTGATCCGCCCCTGGATATGGTAAAAAATCAAGTGCTGATAACAAATTAAAGATCCATGCAATTATTTTTTAAACCTCGTGGCATTTCCTACATTGTTGTATTTACGTTTCAGCTACATTTATATGTAAAGTGTATTCCATAATTTTGCTACAGGTCAAACGTTTACCTGTTGTGTAAGGAAAAATAATGGTCTATTTCACCTTACCGTATCTTTTCCCCAAAGGTTTTTTTTGTAAAATATTTCTATGATTTACATCTTTACGTCATTATGTGTACATATTGCATCAAAATTTAAATGTCCTTATGACCCGTTTTATCAAAATTATACTACGTCAACAAGGTTTCTTGGTAAGTTTTTATTTTGATATTATTTTATCCATTTTTTTACTAATTTATGACGGAGTTCAAAAGCAGATTTAGGGGCGTGTGGCGCCCCCTTATGGAGCTACATGTAAAGTTAATGCATATAATTTTTATAAGTCGTAGTCATAAACGTTGCCTTTTTGACGTCCTCCCCTTTTTCAAAATCCTAGATCCGCTTTTTAATTTTTGTTAAAACGCCGATAATGCAGTGTGGGTTTGGAAACTGCCAAACGACTCGAGGACATGCATTTTGTATCAGACTTCTAGGACTGCAATTATCTGGATTCATTGTCTGACTTCTTTAACACAAATTTATTATTCAACAGTAACCTTATAAATTTGCTTTAAAGTGACTTGTGACCTGAGGCAATTTTTAAACGCGGCCTTTCGACCAAAGGGCCCTACTGGGACCCCAATTAAGATGGACACAAATTCCCTCAGAGAACTATCATGAAAAAATAGATTGATTAACAGATAGTGCTTATCTTTAAGAAATTTTCCAACTCCTTAATAAATAAACAATTTATTGTTGATGGTAAAGTATTGAAAAATTTTGAACATTTTGGTAACAAAGTCAAAGAGAACAATTCTATCAGATTTACCGACTTCAATTGATTTGGCACTTCAAGTTATTTCATTTTCGACACTGCCAGAGGAGCATTATGCACACATTCTTTCGTTACTTGGTATGTTTGAAAACGGCCAAATTTAATTTGAAGCTTATGTGCAGTTATACTGGCGTACATGTTGATAGCGGTTTTCTAAAATCGAAGTAACCAAAGAAAGCCTGATTATTTTCACAACCAGAATGTTGTTGGAATTGATCAGTTAAATCGTAAAATGAATAATTTTAATTTCCCATAGGAAGCATTGCTTTTGCTTACACACCAGTGATAAGTGTATTTAATGTATTTTTTTGCTAGATATATTTACAAATTTATACTTTCCCAAATGTTTAAATTCTTGTTTGATTTAAAAAAAAACTTGAAATATAACTTTAAAACAAATAAAGCTCTGTAGCATACTGAACTCAGATATAATCTAGAGATGCACCTTTTAGCCGGCTGAATTCAATCGGAAGATGATCAGATCTATACTAGTATTTAACAGGCGATTTTACAATAGCACACTGCAAAGATGTCCTAGCTCTGATAATCATGATATCGAATTTTAACACTCTTGTTGTGTGGACAACAGACGAGAGATAGTATGTGATGTGGATAAGACTTATTCCTCTTTGTACATCTTTTCGGGACTGAATCCGGAATATATGTGTTAATAAATCATTACATATGTCCTATTTTAGCATGCATTTTGTGTCCGGGGAAACATGGACATTTGTATTAAATTAAGCCTTTAAACTGAATTACAATATTTATAATTTATTATTGTGTCCGTGTGTCCGGCTGTACAAAATGCATGCCAACTATTTTTTGCACCGGAACCTTACCACTAATGTAAATCATAATTATATTGTATCTTGGACTTCTGTCAGTGGCGGATCCAGAAATTTTCATAAGAGGGGGCCCGCTCCAGTCATGGTCCAGTGATTCCCTATATAATCAACCAAATTTTTCCACAAAAGAGGGGGCCCGGGCCCCCTGAAAAACCCTCTAAATCCGCTTCTGTCCGTATTTGTAACTTGATTATGTATGTTTGTGATAACTGTTTCGCACTGATAAACTGAATAAAAACTATTCAATATTTATTGCATGTCGAATGTGGGACATAATATATATCAATATTTATTCATATAATTGGCACTGGCTATGGTTACCCGAAAAAAGTAACAATAAGAAATATTTATTGTCTCTTCCGATACTAATTGGCGATATGTATTTCCGGAGAGGGACCCAATTTCATACGAAAATTGCAGGTAACAATAAAACTATTTGTAGTGTTACCTACAGTTATTGTTACCCGCAAAATTTAACGTTTGTAAATTACGTCTTTTTTGTGTGTAGCATCGGGATACTTATTGTCTTCGTGTCATTGCCCCATATACTTCGGTTTACATATTTGAAAAATAGTATATGAATAGAATATTATTAAATGATCATCGCAATGATAACTTTTTAAACATTTATACATAATAAAAGCTATTTATTTTGGTTGCACTTCCTGCACATCCAGTAGGTAGCCTACGGTGACGTTTTGCATGAATATTTCAATTCAGAATAAATTAAATCTTTTTTTTTTTTTGCTTTGGTCTGTGCTCCTATTTTACAAGAACTTCTTCTATATAATTGAACAAAATTTGCATCTTAGAATTGTTGAAGTTTATCATTAAAATTTTAAAAAGATATAAATTTTTCACTGCGGACCACAAATTTAACATCATCTTGCTAATAGTGAGTTTCTTTAATCGACCTCCTATGGCAAAAATAAACGTCATATTGGTCAATATATCTTATATAAGATTAATAATGTTAATGCTTAAGCCTGCTTTACATTATAATTTAATTGTTTAAATTTATCATTTCACAGACTGCTCACAAGGCAAACATTTTTTAGACCAGTGCACATGTAACAAAAAATTTGTTCCGGCGTGACATTTGTTCCACCGGAACAAATGTCATAGGAAATATGTTCCACCGGAATTTATATCACAGAAAATATGTTCCATCACTGTAAAATTTGTTCCGGAACTAATTTTTTTACCAAATGTGAAATAAGTTCCGGAACAAAAATTACAGCTCCATGAGTTTTGTTCCAATGTTAAAAGTTTTAAAAAAGTGAAATAATGGGGTACATTTGCAATTGAAGGCATGACTTTAACTATAGGATGAAGAAAAGAAAAAAAGGCATCGGAAATGTATCATAATTTGTTTTTATGTTTTATGTGGTATTCCTTCTTGCTTCCTGTTAACTGTCATGGGTGTTCTAGTCATTCATGTACTTATGTCATGGCACATGTACAGTTTCAAAAGAGTGTCTTTTGTTTCTTCATGGCTTTTAATATAATTGATCAGTCACTTTGTCCTTTTTAAATTAGTAAAAATGTTCATCTTTAACAATACTTTTTTATGCCCCATTTATGGGCATTATGTTTTCTGGTCTGTGCGTCCGTTCGTTCGTTTGTCCGTCTGTCTGTCCGTTCGTCCGTTCGTTCGTTCGTCCGTCTGTCCCGCTTCAAGTTAAAGTTTTTGGTCGAGGTAGTTTTTGATGAAGTTGAAGTCCAATCAACTTGAAACTTAGTACACATGTTCCCTATGATATGATCTTTCTAATTTTAATGCCAAATTAGAGTTTTTACCCCATTTCACGGTCCACTGAACATAGAAAATGATAGTGCGGATGGGGCTTCCGTGTACAATGGACACATTCTTGTTTTCTGAATGATTTTTCTTATTCTACTCTTTTCTGGTTCTTAAGTGTCATTTTGATATTTTATTAAACATTTGCTATACTTCACAGGATCCAAATTGGATTTTACACTTTTGATTTATTACATTATCAATATATAATACATGTTTTTATACAGTACTTGAATGATTACTTTAAACTCACTGGTGACAAATAATCAGTATATAAGATAACTTGTTTAACCAGTGGAACATATTTCACAAACAAGGAACTTATTTCACCAGCTGAGGAACAAATCTCACAATACCAACACTTATTTCACCAGGTAAGGAACAAATCTCACAAACCCGGAACTTATTTCACTAGGTAAGGAACACATTTAACCAAATCCAGAACTTATTTCACCAGGTAAAGTGTGGAACTTATTTTATAGAGATGGAACAAATTATATAGAAACTATCCGTGAAAAAAGTTCTCCCATAACATATTTCCTGTGATATTAGTTCCACTGGAACTTTTTTCACAGGAACAAATTTTGGCTCACAATACTTCGGTAGTTTTTGTCCGATGACCCCTCTACCTCGTATGAGTATGCATATTAGGTAAAACAAATTTTGGCTCACACATATGCCTGAATGATATTTTGCGGGTAACAATAACTGAAGGTATTACACAATGAAAAATATATTATTTTACCTGTAATTTCCGTATGAAAACGGGTCCGTCTCCGAAAATACATCTCAGCAATTAGTCTCGGAAATAACAATAATTATTTATTATTGTTTCTTTTTGCGGGTAATCGTAGCCAGTGCCATTATAATTTGACGTATACTATTCCAAGGCCGTATGAATATAAAAAGTCTGGTCTAAGTAAGTCCCCATGCTCAGTCTAAGATAACAGTATTTCAGGAAATGTATTCTTAGTTTTCACCTCTTTTTCAATAGCACAAATAAATGAAAAGCTTGTCAATGGTCGTAATATAAGAGATATTAAAATCTGTAGAGAAAGCTATTGTTCGATTGACAAGCGTACAAACTGTGAATAAATCTATGTACTGTAAACGTTTGAAATGACCATATATTTCAAGCATTTGTTTGACGTTGATTATTTTGGTTTTCCATCAGGAACAAAGGCATGAAAGACAGAAAAACCCACTTAAATTCCAATCTCTTGAACATCTTGAATATTAGATAGACGCATAATAAAGAAACTGTCCATATATAGCTCTCTAAGAGCTCATGTGGAATTGACATTAGGTATGAAAGAAATTGTATGTAGTGTACTCATTGATAATGTACGTAGTCTGGGAGAACATGTTTTATTTATTAGTTGTTATTGGCTTTGAACCAGCTTTCGGTAATTTGAAAACTCTTATATCCATATTGTGTGTCTTTGTCTTTATGTTAATTGTATTTGTGCGTTGTGTCAACCTAATGAATACACCTTATCGCCATTCCCGCTTGACCTGAGAATCTGTCCCGCTCGAACTTTTGACGTCATACAACAATCACTTTTCCATTGTGGCGTCAGATATTTTCTATTATGACCTCAAAATTTTACAGGAACTTGTGTGATGTCCAGTAATGGCGGACAAATAGCGATAAGGTGTATAGAGCCATTTCCAACTGATCTTATGTTGTTTCTTACACCACTCCATTATAAGTGGGAGGGTTAAGTGCTCACAAAAATGTCTATATAACCTCGTCACATTCTATATTTGCCTGTATTACAGTGGTTGTCTTTGGTTGATGTCTGTCATATTTGTTTTTTGTTTTTGTTTATTGTTTTGTCATAAATCAGGCTGTTTTTTCCATTTGAATTGTTTCACATTTTGTCAAACATGAGCCTTTAACAGTTGACCTACCGAATAAGACTTATTACCGGGTTTGTACTAACATGAGCAACACGACGGTAGCCACATGTGGAGCAGGATCTGCTCACCCTTCGGGAGCACCTGAGATCACCCCCAGTTTTTGGTGGGGTTTGTGTTGCTCAGTCTTTAGTTTTCTATGTTGTGTTTTGTGTACTTTTGTTTGTCTGTTTGTCTTTTTCTTTTTTAGCCATGGCTTAGTCTGTTTATTTTCGACTTATGAGTTTGAATGTCCCTTTGGTATCATGAGTTTGTGAATGTCCCTTTGGTATCTTTCGCCCCTCTTTGACTATATGACATGTGTTTTGCTCATTATTGATGACCTAAAGTTGCTTAAATCATAACATTTGGTCTTTTCAACTTGCGGGTAGTTGTCTCATTGGCAATAATACCACATCTTCATGATCTTGTTAATTAATATTACAGTTTAGTCCAAATGACCATGACATTTGCTTGGGGCAGTTTTTTTTTTCTCCATATTATCCTTCAAAGCAAAATTGAAATCGCTTCCCAAGGTGTATGGTTATTATGAAATAAACTCTCAACTTATATTAACCCAAATAACAATGCTAATTACACAAGCAAAAAAAGAACAAAAAAACTGTTTCACAAATACTTACACATCTTTTCACAGAAAAAACTCTAAATTTGATTGTACATAAATGTACTGTCAGATTATCAGAAATTATTGAAATACATATTAATACACATAACAAACAAATTGTAATGGAGATTTAGTCATCTGTATAGGACAATTTTTATGAATGAGTTCTACCTGTTGGCGGTTGACCAGAGGTTAATTGGCATAAATGATATTATTGTACAATCAGCTCTTTATACTGTGATGTACGTAGCATAAGCATTGTGCCATTGGAAATGTTTGTGAAAATACATGACTGTGATAATTGCCAAAAAAGGGATAACCAGTATCTATACACGAGATAAACAAAATACATGTGCATACAATTATTAAAATTTATATATAGGTCATGTAGGTAGATAAATGGGACAACTGTCAGTGAGATGCAATTTTTTTTCAAGGTATAAATAATCTCCCCTTATGCTTTTCCAAAAATTGTAAAAGTAATCTGTTTTTACAACCCCTGAAATTCTCAAGTTTTGGGAAAAAAACATGCCTCAAATATTTTATCTGGATTGCTTAGTATTTTTTATTTTTTAATGAGAGTTTAACCTTTAAAAATTTTATCTCAAGAACTAAACAAAGCATTCTAGCATTCTTAACTGTGAACAGATGATTTTCCTACTTTCAATGGAAAACATTTTTTTTTATTCCATTTTGAAACTCTTTTTAGGAAAAAATGAAAAACCTTGTATTTTATTTTTCGCGCCCCCCCTCCCACGAAAAAAAAAAATAGAAAAGGTTAATGACTGATGTCTTATACAATCATTGATAAAATATTGTATTTGTGTAAGGCTTATAATACTTGTTTGTCTTTTTGTTGTTTTTGTATCGCCTGCGATGAAAGTCACGGAAAGCGAGACATAGGGATTGCATTTCCGGCGATGCCGCAGTCAACAATTGTTAAGTTTTATGCTTAAGTTAGTTTGATAGGAACTACTTGTGATAGATCATTGATGTTTAATATAAAGTTGCATTACTGTCAGTACATATCAGTTTGATGACTATTTCAAGGCCCTGCCCCCTAGGTCATGGTCCAGCATCTTTGAATTAATAAGCAATTTTCAATGTTAAGTTTTCTGCTAAAGCTAGTTTGATAGGAAATACTTTTGATTTATGTGATAGATCAATGATATTTTGTACGAAGTTGCATTACTATCAGTTCATATCAGTTTGACCACTATTTCCAGGCCCTGCCCCCTAGGTCATGCTCCAGTGACTTTGAATTAATTAGCAATTTTCAATGTTAAGTTTTTTGCTTAAGTCAGTTTGATAATAACTACTTGTGATAGATCAATGATATTTTGTATGAAGCTGCATTACTATCAGTCCATATCAGTATGACAATTGTTTTTAGGCCCTGCCTACTAGATAATGGTCCAGCGACTGAAATAATAAATCATGTTGCTGTCCATCAGATTATCTTTTTCTGAATTTTATGCCAACAGGCAAGACATATCTCTGTGTAAACAGTTTATTGTCCCCTGCGCACAACGTGTTGCGAGGGACCTAGAAATACCGGCATCTGTCCATCTGTCCGGTCTCATTAGCACTCTCACATGTACAGTTCTTGCCTGATTTTTATGAAACTTACATCATAGGTTTATATCAGCAATGTCTTGGACGAGTTCAAAAATCAGTGCTGATCAATTATTTTTAAAAGAGTTATGCCCCTTGGAAACATTAATTATATGGAAAATTGCATCGTTAGCGCTCTCATGTGTACAATTCTTGCCAGATTTTTATGAAACTTATATCATTGGTTTATAACAGCAATGTCTTGGACAAATTCGAAAATCAGTGCTGATCAATTATTTTTAAAAGAGTTATGCCCCTTGGAAATATTGATTATATGGAAAATTGCAATATTAACGCTTTCATGTATACAATCCTCCCAGAATTTTATGAAACTTATGTCATAGGTTTATATTAGCAATGTCTTTGACGAATTCGAAAATCAGTGCCGATCAATTATTTTTAAAAGAGTTATGCCCTTTGGAAATATTGATTATATGGAAAATTGCAATATTAACGCTTTCATGTATACAATCCTCCCAGAATTTTATGAAACTTATGTCATAGGTTTATATTAGCAATGTCTTTGACGAATTCGAAAATCAGTGCCGATCAATTATTTTTAAAAGACTTATGCCCCTTGGAAATATTATTTAAATGGAAAATTGCCTTATTAGTGCTCTAATGTGTACAATTCTTGCCAGATTGTTATGAAATTTATATAATAGGTTTTATATCAGCAATGTTTTTGACGAGTTTGAAAATCAGTGCCGATCAATTATATTTAGAAAAGTTATGCCCCTCAGAAATATTGATTATATGGAAAATTGCATTGTTAGCACTCTCATGTGTACAATTCTTGCCAGATTTTCATGAAATTTATATTATAGGTTTATATCATCAATGTCTCAGACAAATTTGAAAATCAGTGCCGATCAATTATTTTTAAAAGAGTTATGTCCCTTGGAAATATTGATTATATGGAAAATTGCATTGTTAGCGCTCTCATGTATACAGAATTTTATGAAACTTACATTATTGGTTTATATCAGCAATGTCTTTGACACTTTCGAAAGTAAGAGCTGATAAAATATTTTTAACGAGTTATGCCCCTTGGAAAAATTATTTATAACGGAAATTGCATTGCATTTGTTATGAAGCCTCCATTTCTCGTAAGATATTTATAAATTGTTTTAAAGAACAAAAAAAAAATGTTTTTTTTTTAGTTATTGCCCTTATACCTTGGATAGATAAAAAAAAATGTGCAACGCAGGGGACATTCTTTTATTCTTTTGGCCATAGTGTTGTCTTTTTTTACTGGACCTATGGTTATTGATAGCCCCCGTTGGTGTCCTCTCTTTTTTTACTTCCATATATGCATAATTTTCTTGTTACTATTACCATATATACAATTATTTGAACAAATTTTAATTTTTGTTTCATTGTATTAGTTTTTACTGTGCAAATACTGCAAATCATACTTGTCTTTTTATATTTCAGCATGGAACCAGGAAAAATGCGTTACTTGGATACCTTGACAGATGGTTTGGAGAATTTACTATCAACAGGACAGCATTCTGATATAGAAGTGATTGTTGATGATCGGTCATTCCATTGTCATAAAGTTATTCTCAGTGCAATGTCACCATACTTTGAAGCCATGTTTTCCCATGACATGAGAGAAAATCGTGATGGAGTGGTCAAGTTATATGATATTGAAGCAGAAATTTTTGAAAAAATATTACAGTTCCTGTATACTGGCAAAGATGTTGTTTCAGAAGAAAATGCTGAGATGATATTCCGAGCTGCATCTTTGATGCAGATTCCATGCTTACAAGCTACTTGCGCAGACTTTTTGTTAACACAGGTCTCACCGGATAACTGTATTGGCATTTGGAAAATAGCTCAAGCTCACAATTGTGAAAAACTCAAACAAACATCCTTCATGTTTATTTTAGAAAACTTTCAAGTTATATCGACAACTGAAGATTTTCTGAATTTAGATCTGGACGAACTAGTAGGAATAATTAAATCAGATCATCTAATCACTCAATCGGAAGAACTTGTATGTGACATGGCTATGGAGTGGATCAACCATGATAAAGAATCTCGTCAACATTCCGCTGGAACAATTCTAGAAGTTCTCAGACTTCCTCTATTATCAGCAAACTATTTGTGCCATACTTTTGAGAGTAATCATTACCTACAAAATGATCCTGAGTGTAAAACTGTGATACAGGAAGCCATGAAGTACCATACTTGCCCTACTAAGCGTCAAGATTTTACCTCCCACAGGTCAACGCACAGATACAATAGTAAAACCAATGATTGTATTATTATTATTGGTGGATTGCTGTCCACTACACCAAGGTTAGTTGTGGTTTACTGTACTAATCAGTAATGTTAGCCCTACCAGGTACTGTACTCCATTTTCAATACCAAATTTAATGAATGCCTTTATAAGTTGATGATAGATAATTATCTTTCTATGTGTTTAAGATATTGTCATGAAATTTTTGATTGTCCTTTCTTTCAAAAAAATTATGCACCTTAAAAAAAGAAACCAGCAACTCCTGAGTTCTGTATATGGCCTATGTAGGACTCTAATCCTTCCCTACTAGGTTGTTTTGCTGGATGGAGCAGGCAAAATATATTTCTATTCTAAGGATCCACTATCATTTCAGGTCCTATAAATTCATATAACATGTCCTTGTCCTGAATATGCAAAAATGTCTTTCAATCAGATGATGCATGTTTCAGCAATATTTTATTCTGTTTGTATCAATAACATTAATGGTACCAATTTTTCTGCACCAGATGCGCATTTCGACAATAAATGTCTCTACAGTGATGCTCAAGGCCAAAATATTGGAAAAACAAAATCTTATACAAACAATGAAGAACTGATCAACCAAAAAGGACCAAAAGTATAGCGAAATAAAAATTTAAATGAATTAGATTATTAAAAAAAAATTCACATTGTAATCTATTATTTATCTTATTTCCATCTCTAGATACCAGACAACAAAGGAGGTATTATGTTACAGTTTTCAACAGGAGAAATGGTTTAACCTGCCATCTCTGCCTTATGATCCAGGTTATGAGTTTGCTACATGTACATATGGTAGCAGTATATTTGTATCAGGTGGGTGGCTGAAACTTCAAGGACTAGCCGAATACAAGACACACAAGAACAAATGGAAGGTGTGTCCTCAGATGACCAATGGTAGATGTGGTCATGTGATGGTGTCAGTAAACAACTCTATCTTTGTTCTGGGTGGACGGGACGGGGTCATACCTGCCATGACAAACATAGAAGAATACAACCTGCTGACTAACAAGTGGACAACAGTGGGTGATCTCCCCTTAGGTGTGAGGTCAACATCTGCTGCAGCCATTGGAGAAAAGATATATGTTTTTGGTGGAATTATAGAGTCAGATAAAGACACAATGTCAGTGCAATGTTTTGACACACGACACCATACTGTTACAGTTTGTGGAGATTTGCCATTTTCTTGCAGATTGACCAGAACTTTTGCATTGGACACTGCAGTGTATGTAATGGCTCCTGATGGGAGAGTGATACAGTTTTGTGATTCATCATTGAACATCATAACCAAGTTTCAAGCAAGAAGATTAAGGACAAGTTCAAGTGGATCAGACAGTAATGTAATTGAACCACCCAATGCACCAACCACCTGCCATGGGAAGCTTGTTTGTAAGTTACCAAACTTTAGTCAACATCATTTTGAAGTTGTGCAGTATCGTGGGCACATCTTACTAGTGGGTGGTAAGACACCAGACAACACAATACTCAAAAATATCATGGTTGCTGATATTCATGACAAAGGTGATACAAATGATCTATTTAATGACCTTGAAATGCCCTCTGCACGTTGGTGTTTTGGATGCATTAGGGCTGTTATAAACAAGGATTTTCTCAACAATGAGCTTTATGTATGAAATTTACTTAGAGAAATTGATGTTGTTTTTGTCTAACTTATATATTTTGTAACCAAATATCTTCTCTGGTTTCAGATTTTGTCACATGGTGATATCATAAAAAGTGAATATTACTGGTTCAAACATACAAAGAAAACACAACAATTTTGTATATGCATTGACATGTGTCAAATCAATTTCAGAACATTTTGAAAGCTGTTAATGAATGCAATATACAAAATAAATCAGACATGTGTCAGACGAATTTTGAATATTGTATTTATCATGTTTATATAAAAAATATTAACAAGCACATTAAATTTAATGAAATTATGTGTTTTTATGCATAATTTTTTACATTTAAATGCAAGCTTGTGGACAGAATGATATTTTTTTAAATGCATAAAGTCGTGTATGTGAAATGGCAACATTTTTGTCAGAGGTGAGACATTTGGTTGGCTTTATTTATTTGTTTTGTTATTTTATGTTTGTGTTTTTATTTTTATATATATGTATTAACAGCTTATTGGACTCAAAATTGTAGCAAGTAGAAATAATTTTGAGTCTGGCCATATGTTAAAAATTTTGTTAGTACACAATAATGTCTTTCATTTATTTTGTATAGTCAGGTTATATATATGTATTTACAGTGATATGTAGTTGTATATTTTTTTTAACGGTATTTATTTGTTATGTATTTAAGTGCCAGTCTTTGTAAGAATCAGGCAATATTGAAAAAAATTAAAACATGGCAGAAAAAACCCACCGACCTAACCATCCTATTTTGAAAATACCCTCATCCTGAGTTAGAAATGGTAGGTCTTTCATTTCTTCATGTCTGGTAATTTGAAAAATCTGTAGGTAACTTTTGGTTAGAATGATAACAAATTACGGAGTAAGCTCCACTTTATTGTTAATTTCTAGTGCATTTTAACCAAATTATATCTTGAATTACCAGAACAGGAAAAGGAAACGAATGTTATATTCGTTCACCATTATACATTTTGAACATATTTTAATGTTAACTTGAGTGGGTTTTTGTTTGTCATGTTTTCACCACTGCCTGATTCTTAGGCAGATTGGCACTTAAAGTTTACATGAAAGTTTGTGCTTAGAAAATGATGAGTCCTTTAAAACTGTTTAATCATATGGCTGTTTGCTTGGTAGTGTTTCCCTTGGCTTTTTGACATTGTGATATCACAGAACTAAATTTCTTAACCAAAGTGCAATATATATTACTGGGGGAGTAAAGCTGGGAAGTGCTAAAAATTTCAGCTGAATTCATCCATAACCTTGGGATTTATTATTTCAATTACACAAGTATATTTTTATTGTTTAAGTGAAAATGCTGATCACCCTCAGTTCTACAAAATGATATTGAGAGAAAACTGTTGAGTATAAATAAAATTTTTAAGCAGCAAAATTAGAGAGTTTCAGGGAATGTTCATGATTGAGATGTTTTTGGTTATACATTATATATGATAGAGATGTACTTTACAGAAGGATTTCACAATGAAAAAAAAGGGTATCAAATTACCCGTATTGGATCACCATTCTTATTCTTTCAGATTTTAAGATGCTTTATACCTAAAAAGCACTGAACATATATTTTGGAGGATTTTTTTGTTGGTGATTTTTTTATAATGTGCATGTTCCCATTCAATCACTTTCGACTTACTGATTCGAAGTCTTTTTCGTGTTCTGTACTTTGAATAAATGGGATTATAAATGCACAATAACCCACAATTTACATTAGTTTAATAGTAACATGCAAGATAACTGTCAGTCTTGACTTATTTCATAAAATCAGAAACTTACTTTGTACATTTTTCACTTAGCATCTTTTTATATTTCAAATGTATTTTCTTATTTTTTAATTAAGTACATTTGTGCTAATGTTGACCATATAGATATTTTCTTTTTCACTTGAAATGAATGAGTCATATGTGAACAAAGTATTTATGAGAAATATCTTTATAACAAGGTTAGAGATGTTTATAATGGTTGGGTTAGTGGGCCACTGCAGTGGAGTCATCACATACAATTTATATTTTTTTGCTTTCTTAAAGCTTAGTTTTCATGAAGTGCAATTTTTTTCCCATTATTGACCATTTTATGAAGGTTTAAAGGTATCACTAGTAGTCAAATGTTCTTTTGAATTTAAAAAAAAACTTTGATGAACATTTGGTGGTCTAAATTAAAATTGATAGAAATATTGTATAATTTGACAAAATGTAGTTTTTAATTATCATGATTGTAAACGATATATGATAAGAGTGTTGGTCACAGGGCTTTTTCAAGCTACAGGTTGTGCAAAATTGCCAGATTTTGTATAGATTATAGAATAGAAAACCCAGTTTTGTGTGATAAAAAGAAAACTGAAAGATTGAATTTTAAGATAAAATTTGAGACAATAACTCTTATAATGATCTTTTAGAAAAAAATAGAAAAATTGAGGTCACAGGACTAGTTTTCTTTCTACAAAACAAAATAGGTAAATTCATTACTCATTCTTTTATTCCTTTATAAAGTTTAGATTATCTGAGTTATCGGTCGACCCTATATCTGTATCACTCTGCTCAGCTCTTAATAAAATTGCATATCACAGCTTTGTGACTTAAAATACGTTGACCCGGCCTTAATAACTTTGACCCAGACTTATCACCGACGTCATAATGTATGAACCGACGTTGATAAGTTTGACCCGAACTTATCATGTCATCTACCGGTTTGCTGGTGAAACAAAGAAAACACTTGTTTCTATCATGCAAAATACACAAATATAACCTGATAAATCGATTATCTGGTTGTAAGCATGTTGATTTTGTAAAATATCACCTGCTCGACACAATATGAAGCCTTTTTTATCTCGTTCGCTGCGCTCACTCGACAAAAAGCTTCATATTGCAACTCGCAGCTGATATTTTACGATATCAATATGCAAATTAGTTGAAAAAACATAATTTCCTTCATTAGGTTGAAAATGTTTACAAATGAATTACATTCTTCACTTGAAATTTAAACATTTCATTTAAGATCCAGACTGATTGTTTTCTGTAATTTTACAATCCAAGATGGAGGAGGACACCCGACCTACCTTTGTTTTTGCATGGACTGTTAATGTTTAATGTGTAATGTATAGATACCCATCTCTATATACATATGGCACAAGGTTAACACTCAATTATGTAAGCCTTATATTTGAAAACCATTGTTTGTCCATTGTTATACTGTATTCAGTCTGTTTTATCATAACTTATCTTCAGGTCTGTTTTTAATGGCTTATGTTAATTTACTGTATGGAATCCTGTACTTAAGTTTAGGTTAGCTTGCAAGTAGATTTTGAGAGTTAGGTAAATTAAGGTATTTTATTATTATGGGAATAGGTAGGACGTGGGTCTCATTTGGGGTGTCAGCATGATGTGGGATTGGCCGATTTTTTGTAAGCATGACACGAAAATTAAATTATTTTACATGAAAAAGGGAAACAAAGTCGGGCAGATACGTGAAATTGCAAGCGCTATTATCATAATGATAAGCTGGATACGGGGTTCTGACAAAACAATAAGCATAAGTTAGAATTTTGCAACTACAATTTTTTACTAATTATTTCATACAAAAACAGATTTTTTCGAACAATTATTTTGAAGGCATCAGGCTTATAATTTTGTACACCAGACGCATGTTTCATCTACAAAAGATGCATCAGTGATGCTAGAAACAAAAAAGTTAAAAGGCAAAATAAAGTGAAGTTTAATGTATAAATTTGTTGATTTTGCCATAATTTTATTTTCAGTAGTTTTTGTTTTCTCATGATGTGAATATGAATTTGTTTTTATATTTAAATTTGGTTGAAACATATAGCCATTTTTCAGGGGGAAAAAACCTTTCGCTTGTTTATAAATATCATCATAAAATTGAAACACTTTACAATATAAATATAACCAAATAAAAAAGTACACCTGTGACAAGTCTGATACTTAAATGATCCAACAATATTTTTTGGAAAAATTGTAGTTTTAATGGAAAAATATATCAAAAAATTGTAGGTGATGAATATTAAAATATTTATTGCATAACGCTGTGCATGTATTATAATGTTAATTATCACGAACTCAAAGGGATTGTATTGTAAAAATCATTGGTTTGTTATTTGGGTCTGTAACTCTTATTTTGTTAATATATATTTAGAGTGATCACATTCACCAGCTATCATCAAAAAGTAATTTTTATCTATAAAAACTCTGACTCTATTACGAAAACTTAATTGTTGTTTTCTTGCTTGTATTTGTAAATCATAGTTACAATTGTTATTAAGTTACATATCAGGGTGTAATATATTCCTAATTGTTAACAATTTTTTTTTTTGTCTATGGCTATTGACTTTGAAGTATAACTACAATCACTATTCTAAATATTTAAAACTTTGTTGTATCCAAATGTTATCGTAAAACCACATTAAAAGTGCCATACTAGTCACAAAGAATGTTTGTTAGTGTGTGTCACTGAAGACTTCTATTCCTAAATGTTGTTTATTATTTTTACTTGTCCCACCTGTTGATAAAATTAATGTTTTTTGGGCTAAGAAAATTTATGAGGACATTGTGATTAAGAATATTATAGAATGATTCATTTATATATATATATATATATATATATATATATATATATATATAAATGTCTAAATTGAAAACAACGTTCAAACCTATGATTGTGTTGGATAAAAACCGCAATTTTTATACGTGTGAATGTAAAACAAATTTCTTGGTAGAGGGGTCTAAATACAGCACAAACAACAATTTCCAAAAGACCAAAAAAAGTGAAAAAGTCTTTTTTAACAAACGCATTTGACTAACAGGTCGAACAACTGATGTTCTTAAACCCTGCTGACTGCCATTGGTGATTGCCAAATAAATTGTTCACCAGATCTAACAAAATGGATCTTAATATTAATTTAATACCAAAATAATATATATATTAATAATTTTTTACTTTAAAGATGATTTCATTTCAGCATTGAACATTCCTATACATTTTTTTAGAGATAAGTTAATTAAAAATAATTTAAAGCCAAATAACAAAGTATTTTTTTGATATTTTTCTGTTCAAGATCATCCTTAGTTTCGCAGCAACCTAAAACTTTTGGTCAAAATTCAGAAAAGCACTATGAAAGTCAAAATGTCTGCATATATTTTGTCTATAAACATTGCATATGGAAATTGCTCAAAAAGTTTATTCAATATACTGACCTCAATTTTTATACGACCGCAAAAAAATTTTGGGGTCGTATATTGCGATCACGTCATCGTCGTCGGAAGACATTTGGTTTCTGGACAATAACTTTAGTTAAAATGTATGGATCTCTATGAAATTTAATCAAAAGGTTCAATACCACAAAAGGAAGGTTGGGATTGTTTTTGGGGGTGATGGTCCTAACCCTTTAGGAATTAGGGGCCAAAAAGGGGCCCAAAACAAGCATTTTTTCTAGTTTCAGGACTATGACTTGTGAATAAGTATTTTGGTTGATCTGAAATTGTACCACAAGGTTCAATACCACAAGTAGAAGGTTGGGATTCATTTTGGGGGTAATTGCCCAAACCGTTCAGTAATTAGGGGCCAAAAAGGGTCTAAAACAAGCATTTTCTAGTTTTCAGACAACTTGTGTTTAAGTGTCCTTTAAAATTGTGTTTAATGTCTCTTAAATTGAACCACATTTTACAAAAAGAACATTTCTTCAAATGTTATTTTTTTTGGAAAAGGTGGGGGGGGGGGGGGGCAAATTTTTTTTCCACAAAATTTAAGAAATTAAAAAGAAAATTTCTTCAAATAATTTTTTTGGAAAAGGGGGGGGGGGGGGGGGGGGGTTTAAAAAAAAAATTTCTGGGATGGGGTCAATTTTTTTTCCTCAAGATTTAAGAAATTGTCAATTTTCCAAAGAAAAATTGGGGGTCACAATTTATTTTGCTAATTCTTTGTATATAGTCTGAAAACAGATTTACTAAGTATTGCGCAACAGCACAGTGTATTGCACAAAATCTTCAATTGAATATAAATTCAAATCAAATAACCAATTTCAAGTTCTTTGACTACTGTACATTTATTCTGTGTCAGAAACCTATAATGTGTCAAATTTTTAATTACAATCCCAATTCAGACCTGTATCAAGCTTGACCTGTATGAAATATTCCACACAGAATGTAAACGGAATATAGTAGGAATATTGCATTGAATTCCTACCAGAAAAGAGTGATATTCTAGTCAGACAGTAGTAGGAATCCACACGGAAAATAGCTGAAATATTTAAATTGGCAGGAATTTCATAGTAGGAATATTGTATATTCCTACCAGGAATTTTTAATTAGCAGGAATAATTTGGCGGGAAAATAAAATTCCTACTAGAAAACCTGGCAGGAATTTTTCAAAATTCCACATAGAAAAAATGTTTTCTAGTAGGAATCTAAAAATATACAAAATGTAAGTGTATATTCACAAATACACAACTGGGTCAATCATTTAAGTTTGAATCTCAACAACAAAAAACAAAGGAAATGCATGGAATATATTCATTTAAAAAAAGTTGACTTTTGAAATGTACGAGGAAGCTGTGATATATCCAAACATATATGTAGATGGGCAAAAATGTTGATTCTAAGATGAAATTAAAGAGTTATGAAAAATTAATAAGTAAAATTATGCACTATTGTTGAATTAACTAATTACTAAATATATTGGCAAACAGATCAACAATTTCATCTTAAAAGTATAAAATTTACCTTCAATCTACATGAGCCATATTTTCTCATATTTCAATATTGTAGTTGTTTAACCCTTGCAGCATATTGTGTTCCAACACAACTTTTCATTCTTCTACCCTAAAGCTTTTGAATTTGTGAACTGGAACTTGTTTGCATTTAACACAGCAAAATTTGTGTCATTAGCAAACAAGAATCCAGTTTAAGATAATTAAAAAGATTCCATGACTTTTGTATAAAGATTTTCTAGTAACTTTAAATTAATTCTGGTAGGAATCTTGTAGAAGGAAAATGAATAATCTTATCGTATTTTCTGTCCAAATTCCCACTTAAGATTTTCAAAACAGAAAAAAATCCGTACAGACTTTTAAAATTCCAGCTAGATGGTAGGATTTTGCAAGTGGAGAAAATAAAAAATCCAGTCAGAATTTTGTTCATTTTCCATGTCCACCTACTTTCTATATAGAATCTTTGATTCTAGGTGGATTCCTACTACATTCCTACTAGTGTTTAGGTGGAATCCTACTACTTATTTCGTACGGGGAATATTGTGTCCTTTTTTGCCCCAACTGATCAGGGTTGGACCTCTGCGGTCGTATCCAGCTGCGCTCGGCAAAGCAGTTTATTCTCATTCTGCAACATGAAGCTGGTAAATATATGATAAAGATTTTTTTCCTAAACTGTGTAATTTGCAGTCATTAAAACCTTGTGTAAATTTCTTAAGGATTTATAAGGCAACACAAACCTTAAACCTTTCTTTAAGGATAACAAATGAAATAAACGTCAAGCAAATTTCATCTAGACATCATTTTTAGTTTGTTGTTTTATTTGAAGAGAAAATTTTCAAAGCATGGCACCATAAATTTTTGCAGCATTTTACTTACACAAGTTAAGAAACATAAACTTGTACTTTACATATATTCATAATCTTGAATTCCTACAGCTTCACACACAGACAATGTTTGTTTTTATATATGCTTATGTTACAATATTATTGTTATCATTTCTTTAGATTATCATATTTGGTTTGTAGAAGGTCTTTCATTACAAGTGCAATTTTTAGTAGAACTAGAGGTACTATAAATTCAGAAATTGTTGCATGCATTTATTATTGCGATTTTTAAAGAATGTACAAAAATGTGAGATTTATTATTGTGATTTTAGATAAACCTGCATAGAGATATATGTATCAGATATAAGAATGCGAGTTCTTATTACTGTGATTCCCACCCAGTCGCATTACTAGTATTCGCATTAATAAAAACCTTGCAATAATTTCTGAATTTACTGTAGTTTTATAGAATTATGGGATGTTATAAATTTAATGTTAAATGATGTTATTCTGTCATTTACTTGAAGATGTACATGTAGATATCTAATTATAGTTTTCAGAAAAAAGAAAAAAAAGTCCATTTAATCTACAACAGATAGATAACTAGGCTTTTCATATTGTGTTAGGAGGTCAATAGCCAAGTTTAGAATATCAAAAATAGAAAAGAAGGCGGGACAATTAGAACCATTTATTATTATTTGGCCCCTAAATGTTATACAAATATCTAAATATTAAGTTAAATTTATTGCCAAAACATCTTTATTTTTTTTAAACAAAAGGAAATAACAGATAAACCATTTCTGTCTCTTGACAAGAGAAAAAGGCTTACTTATTTCTGTATTTATTTTTATCTGACCATGTTTTGAAAATAGCATGCTTAGTTTTATGTTTATTTACTGATAGTGTTTTGAGAATTCTTTTACTCTTTCTATTTCTGCAAAACCTAATATTAAGTATCATTTGGTACATAACTTTTACAATTTCATTTTACTGGATTATGATGTATTACAAATAAAAGAGATGTAAAGTGATGTTAGTTGTATTAAGATCTACAAATAAATGTTATTTTTGTTTGTTGTTTTATTGTCTCGCCTTGACGGAGTCAAAAAGCAAGACATAGGTATGCTGTTTCCGGTGTCGGCGGCTGCGTCAACAATGTATTAGTTTGTGATTAGGTCTAGTTCATGGTGAACCGCTAGTGGTAGGTCAATGATATTTGGTATGCAGTTGAATTAGCTTTGGCACATCTCATTACCATGGAGATTATTTGGCCCCGCCCCCTCAGTCAAGGT